GGGGGGTTGTATTTTTCTGTGTGTATATTAGGCCCCATTCACACCTATATTTCAGGTGCAATTAGGGATTCCTGTGTCACAAACTTGCGTTTTCCTGCAGCAGGAATCCCTAATCTGGCGTTTACATGCAGCAACTGTCACCCATTCAAGTTAATGATCTGGTGACAGCCGCTGCATGTACACGCCTGCATACCGCATGTAATTGTATGTGATATGATTACATACAATTACAAGAACAATCACTATCTCTGGATACAGAATTGTGTAACCATGGATTGTGACAGATTCCTAACTGCATGTAAACATTTCACATATGAGTACATGCAGCGGCTGTCACCCAATCATTAATTTGAATGGGTGATAGTTGCCGCTTGTAACATGTGCATACATTAACACTGGTACCGTATATAGTAGCAGCCCCCACGGGACTAATAAATGTGTCCAGTGGCCCCCGACTAAATTGAGTTTAAGACCCCTGCTGTACGGGCTCCTCGGCAGTCGGCAACTACTTGTATCTTCCTCCGCCCACCCCAGCTTCTATTGGGAGAGTGCAGCACTGCCATTCGCTGCTCATGTATTTTAGCAGAGTAGGGACAGAGAAGACGCATCAAGGCTGCTTGGGGCTTCACATGGGAGAAACATCGCTGTTCCCCCACTACCCACCACCCGGAGAGGAAGAAGAGGGCATGACAGAGGACATGATCTAGTACATCAAAACTGTAATTTCCTTTCTATCTTACACTGTTGTCATCCGCACTTTGCGTTACATTACTGTCATCCGCACTCTGCGTTACACTGCTGTCATCCGCACTTTGTGTTACATTACTGAGCTCCGCACTCTGCGATACATTATTGACCAATGCACTCTGCTTTATAACTGACCTCTGTCCCAATACTAAAAACTGATACCAGCACTTACATATTTCAAATTGACTTAGGTGTCTTAGTTCCGGCTGGGGACCTTGCGGCAGCCTTCTGGGGAGCCACGCAATGCCTGCTTTCAGCGCTTCTGCCACCCGCACATCTCCCCTTGCTAAGACCCTCCCCACCCCTCCTGACAAGCTCTGCCTAAGACATTAGGCCAGATCCCCAGAGTAGAGCAGCAGCACAGAGTATGTGGCAAATGTATATACTATTATTCTGCATTGCTCTGTGTTTTGCTGGGATTTGTAGTCCTCTATAGCTAATGGTATTATTCCGCAAGGCTGTATAATGTAATGATGGGATTCTGGTGCTGGTGGTATTCTGCTTTTCTGTATAGTGTATTGCTGCGGTTTGTAGTCCTATCGGTTATTATTTACACAGCCCTGGTGTTTGCTGAAATTGAAAAGCTTTTGAGAGTTTTCCTCTCTTTCTCAAGTCTGAAGCAATACCTGAGGAAGAAAGTAAAACTCTTGAAAGCTTGTCTTCTAAGTATTAGGTTAGTACAATAAAAAGGTATCAGCGCATACCGCATTACTCTCGTATTTTGTAATCTTATTTATATATACTTCTTT